TCAGAAGAGTGAGGTCAAACTCAACTGGCGTCCGCTCTACCAATTGAACTTCAGACTTGGTGTATACTCCTGAAGAGGAGCTTCAGCATTTCAGTCGATTCGAGGAAGAGCTACAAGCCAAGAATGTGCCGTTGTCCCCCAACCAGCTGGCAGAGTTGTATGAGGACACAAGACCAGCCATCATGCAAAGTCTCGTAGACGAGATCAACTCCAAACAGAATCTATGGACGGCGTCCACTGACCAAGAGAGATTCTACGGTAGGCTGGTCAGGGTCTCATCGAGAGCTGTGCGAATGAATTTGTTGACGGCCAACTTAAAGGTCGCTCTCTCGGTGATGCCAAGAAGCTTTGCGGAACACTCCTTGAGGAGACTGAAGGGCTCGAGAAGAGGGTCTATCCACCAGGGGAGCTTGCTGACATTCCGAATAGCTTTGATGCCCGCGATGCATTCAAGGAGTGCAAGGACGTCATCGGCCATGTCTGGTAGTTGACATCCGTTAGCGCTGGAGAGTTGCCGTGTCGATGCTAACATGCTCCTTCTTTGCAGGGATCAGTCGGCTTGTGCGAGCTGCTGGGCGATTGCGCCAGTTGAGGCATTTAATGCTCGTCTTTGCATCAAATCGGGGGGGAAGTTCAATCAACTACTCTCTGCTGGCGAGATGATCGCTTGTTGTAACTCAACGCACTCTTGGCAGTGAGACCGGTCCACTTAGAGTTTGATTTCCAATTTTGAATCTGATGTCAGACCTCGCGGCTGTAAGGGTGGCATGATCTTGAATGCTTGGTCCTTCCTCAAAACGCACGGTATCGCCACCGGTAGGCCAACCGCTACCAATTAGGGGTTTTCTGAGTGGTGTTCCACATTCAGGTGGAGATTTCGTTCCAGAAGGGAGCATGAGCGCAGCCGATGGTTGTTGGCCGTACAACTTCCCAAAATGTGCTCACCATCAGAAAAAGTCAAAATATGAGCCGTGTTCGAAGGTGAGAGTACCACCCTCAGGGTAGCGACACCAGCGTGATGCTGGGGCTTCTATCCATCAGAAACTCTACGACACACCTTCGTGCTTGGACCGCTGTCCCAATGAGAAATACGGAATTCCGCTGGACAAGTGAGTTGTGATCGATAATAAAATCTCAGAATTTATAGTCTCAAGAGATCGTCACTTCACAGCACACTCACCCGATTTGTTCGAGGGAACAGACAATATCAAGAAAGAGATCATGACAAATGGCCCAGTATGACCAGTTTTCTTTCATTCGAGTAGTATATGTGTCCAATCCACCCTCTGTCAGACCTCGGCTACATTCTCTGTGTATGAAGACTTCGTATCATACAAGTCAGGCGTCTACAAGCACACGAACGGCACCTTGATGGGCATACACAGTGTTGAGATCATCGGTTGGGGTACTGAGAAGGGCGTTGATTACTGGCTGGTCATGAACTCCTGGAATGAAGGATGGGGTGACCATGGGACCTTCAAGATAGCCCAAGGTGACTGTGGCATAGACGACGCCGTCCTTGGGTCGCCTCCAGCCATGAATTGACTGATCTCTGAATGTTAATTTTTCAACACAGGGTAAGTGTCAATGACTCAGGGTCATAGAATAGGTCACATGTCCTGGACATATGTCCAGAACTGTACCTTGGTATTGACCTCAACTTTATTCATTGAGTAGGTTTATGCATTCGATTCCCTCATTGTTCTTTGATCGGTGCATGGTCTACGATCCATGACAATGCCCGCTGCTCATTTACTACGGATTTTCCCTAGCACAGGGTGAATCACCTGTGTTCTTTTACCCCACTCATCTGCATTCGGCCATCGAATGAATTATGGGGTTAGATGAGACGAAGCTCACCTGTGCACTGCGTCAGGTTACATTTTCCGCATAGTCTGAGCTCACAAAACTCGAATATCCTTAATTGTCAAGCATATGTGAGGAGGGTATATGATCTCTCAGCTAAGCATGTCGTGTTGAGAAAATAGGTGACCGTCACGGTCATATTCAAGAACCTGTCCCGAAACAGGTGTGTCTTAGACGCTTCCATTTCCACTATTCACGTTACGTCACTGACGTACGTATGTGGCTTGTATCCCGAGGACGCAAGAGACTCGTACGCTCAACACAATAATGATAACATCAGAATACTAGACGATATCAAGTATTATTCGAAATTTCAATTCGCGGAAAATCGCGAGAAAAAAGGTATACCGGGAAACGCAGCGTAGGTCTCCAGAAAAGGCGGCCTTCAGTAACATTCTTTTCGTTATGTATTACATCGGATGTAATGGAGTCGATCAGCACTTCGCGGCGTCTGCGATTATCCTATCGCGGTTAATGTCATTTCACCGCGAGTTAGGGGTGCATCTCAAATGTAGCAAGGCAAGGTTTGGAAGCCTCGATCAAGGTTCATAGCGCTATCTACATTAGCGACAGACCGAGACATATTGACCATCACACGCCATTGACGAAAACGACAAAATTGTGCTACTCAGCGTCCATCTTCGCCTAGCGGTGACTGTGAACTAGGCTGATAGAAGAAAGGCACCAGCACAGAGATAAATTCCGGCTGGATCAGTACAGTACTGATCTAGCGCAATATTATTCCACTTTGCACTAGTAGCTAAGCTCGCCAGTGAGAGAGCTTGTGTCCGCGGCACAAGCATGCACGTGCGAGAAAGACACCATTGGTGCCACACCAATGGTGACATCAACATACAGGATAGAAAGGGCAATGCAGAGAGGCACAAGTCGCTCTAGGCTAGGCTTGTAGGCTGTAGGCTACAACTTGCTCTGCTTCGACTCGAAGCAGCAGAAGTGGAGCAGTGCTCCTGAGGAACAATGCTCCTATTCCGCTTTCAGAGTACCATTCTCAGTGGCACTCAGCTTGTCTGGCACTCGTAGTTCCTCGGAGCACGTCATGGTTCTCAACGTTAGCTGGATGACGCATAAGTCGTTGATGTGTTACTGTATCACAGTCCACTACCTTAGGTTACCATCGTATTTCCCTAGTACGGCGGCCAAGTCATTATTGGCAATAATTTATCGGATGCTTACTTCACCAGGTTTCATTAGGGGAAGTTCACCTAAAGAAAAACTCTCGCATTCTTCCCGTCGGGATGGCTTCATCTCACGCTGAGGCCAATCTCAGTTACATGATGTAACTTACATCAGCAAGCTCTCCCCGAGGTGTTTCGATGAGAAGCCACAATTCTGACAGTAATCTCCGGGTCTTCGACCTCAACGCTTGCTTCCGGGTAATTCTATCATTCACTCCTTTTGGCTTGACAACGCTCCGCCCAAGGATCAGCCTCCGATCATCGGAGTCGGACACTCACATTCTGTGAGTGTGTCCAACCGCTACCACTCCTGTGTTAGCGGCATATCGGCTATGCCATAGCCACGACCTGTCCATCCAAGAAATACGCCAGACGTTCGGAGCGTCACGCTCCTGAATCATCCATGCCCCCAGTGAGATATTTAGTGATCTACTAGATTCGGGATTTCTACTCCGCAAGCGTCACGGGCCGTGACGGAGTTTTGTCATCGAGTGAGCCTTGACAATTGCGAAGCAAGCGGTGCATATACTGTCATTTCGCGCCTTTTCTGTACGTTCGTTCATTCAATTACCTCTCCACGGCTACACCAATTGAGCTTTCGAAATATATACCACTCGGAAGAACATGGCTCATATAACCCGAAAAATATGATATCGCTCTTGACACCAGCCTAGGGCCTAAGTCGGTTATTGGCCGAAACTCCTCTGCGCTGTGACGGTGAGAACAGTAAATACTCCCTCAGTGTCTCGAACAGAAAATACTCGAAAGAAGCCCGTGCCGGGAACCGGACCCGCAACCGCTACCTATAATCCGAGCTCCGTTCCTTCGTCTCGGAGACCTAGCGCAGCACCGACGAAAGTCTGCTGGCTTGACTGGCTTGCGATCTGGGACCTGATGAAAAAAATGGAAATCTCGCGCGCAGTCTCCGGCATGCTTGCTAAGCGGATCCTGTTCACATCAAACCGCAGCTCAGAGAGCAATCACATTCAACGGTCGTATACTCAAGTAGATAAGGAGGTTCACTTCCGACCAAATTCGACAAACCTTCGTAGGTTCAAATTTCCCTGCGGCCCAGTTCTCTCGTGATTCGATCTTCTATTCGGACATTCCATGCTTTCTTCATGGATTCCGTGACAATTGCATTGGAGGCCTCACTGCCTTTTCTACTCTATAACACAACGCGAAGATCCAACGAGAAATAGAATCAAACGTCTTAACTCAATGTCCTCCCTTCGAGGCCGCCTTTTCCGTAGACATCATTTCTTCTGTCTCTTTCTGCTCCTCTTTATCTTTCTCACTCACATATTGCTGTACCAATAACTGCTTCTTCTTCGCAAGGATTAACTTGTCAATCTCACTCTCAGTCGGTACCGGTACGAACCTACCAAGTTCATTACCGCGCGCCACGAAATTGCCAAATTTGTACGCTGTAGTAGTGATTTGCCTCCGACTCGGTGACGACGGATGAGCTCCAGTGCTACTACTGGATGCTGTTCTCCCACGTTTATGAGGACTTTGACCATGCGTACGACGATACCTGTAAAAAGAAATCATAAAAAAAACTATTCTCATTAGAAAACCGACTCTTCCTCCGCTTCTACTTGTAGTTCCAATTCTCGCTGCGATTCTTCCAACAACTGGAAACAAAAAAATATAAGAAATTGATATTATCAGGCTTACTTGAATTTCATCATCATCTGCCCTCCAGCCAAAGTAGTCAGGCTCAATGTCCTGGTATCTGATCGAGCCTGTTTGAACGAGACACATAGTCGGAGAGATTTTCCTATAGCGGATTTGCATTGGGTAAATCGCTCCTATCGTGTGAATTTTTCCGGATTAAATTACCCAGGAAAAATCGTTTCGCTCTACGTTGGAACATAACCGTCCTATCGCGCGGAAGACTCCTCTGATCAGCGCCAGAGAAATCATCAATGTCACATCTAACGCAATTTACTTTTCATGTGTTGATGAAAATATGAAAATTCTGAGAAAATTTTCGGAAATTCTCATTGATTCTTGCGCATTTCTACCCTAATTCGAATATAAATTTCTATGAGGAAATTACCCAGCTCAGCTGAGGAAAGCGGCCATATATTCCTCGGGCATATAACGATGTAGAACTTGTAATTTTCAACAGTGAAATAATCACGGCGGTCACCACCAGTGGAGTCATCGAGCAACTCGAAATTTTCCCGGAGAGAACGAATTTCGGACTTTCAAAACGGCTAGGAACATATTTTCGGTCAATTTTCGAGATTCTCCCCATTATAATCGCTCATTCGGAACATTTTTCCTAGTCTCAGCGGGATCCTAGGAACGTTATTTCTGAGAGCTGGATGACCACCACTATACTACAGCTCCTTTCGAGTGCGTCGCTTTTTTCTCTCTGCATCTTCTGCAGCCCTCATAGCTCGCTGATGCTCGAATAACTCCCTCACGCCCGGCAGGTCCTTGGCAGCACCGAAATATTTATACCCATCTAAAAGAACACATGCATACCACTACAACTGAGAACGAGCTCTGCAAGACTTTTTACGAGCAAAAAATTTTTTCCAAGGAAAATGTTGTTTCAGAGATTTTTACGAGAAAAAAAATTTTCGACTATTTTTTTCTGATTTTTTTACAGGAAAATGTTGTTTCAGAGATTTTTACGAGAAAAAATTTTTCGACTATTTTTTCCTGATTTTTTCACAGGGAAAAATCAAATTACAGGTTCAATACGAACAAGTCGTTACTTCCTCCTATGATCTCAGCGCCCTCCCCGGCATCCCCAGCACCAACACGCATTGAAGAATAATCCGGCCCGCCGAGAGCTCTTATTTGGTCTTCCCAGTGTTTCCTAAGGAAATAACTTTCCTCGAAATTTTTTCGCATGTATTTTTACTTGGTTCGTAATAGCCTGTTGATGGTATCATTGAGTTCTCTTATTTTCTGCTCTCCTAGAGAGGCGTTTTGAATATCGGAAATGTTCTTGGAAATGTCTCGGACCTGTTTCGAAAAGTCGGCAACAGCAAAATGTGAATAATTTATACCAGAGTTTGCCGCCAATGAACGCAGTCCTTGAGGGAAGTACAGTCAGTCGCGAACCTGTGTGAGAAGTCGTGTCTACAATATGGAAAAAATTTTTTGAGAAAAATTTGGGAATTTCTTTTACACTTCTACTCGAATTTGCATAGGAAATCGAAAATATTTACCATCACCAAGTTGATGATTACCGTGGTCGGTTGAAATTGGGTCTGTGGAAGAGCTGTCCGGTTTCGATTTTCCTCTGCTGATCCACCCAACGATTCAGCAAATGCATCGCCTTCTCCTCAGAACGAGCCATGTTGTCGCACTAGAAAAGATACCAAACCTGCCCTGGAAGAAAGATACGGATGAGGCCCAGGAACCTATAATGTTCTCGGGGGAACTAATTTTGATGGCTAGGAGCACATTCTTCAATCAGTAAATGAAGTCATCACATTAGTAACATTTTCCCCATTGTTATCAAACCCTGGGGGGAATGTAATTTCTCAATGCTAGATGGATCCCCGAGTAGTTCCAGAAATAACCCTCTATGAGATGAGTAGCAAATTCGCTGTTGATGACGACTGTTTGAGTACTCATTAAAGTAATTGTGAAACTCAGCGTCTATTCATTTTAATTCCTACAATGATTTTCGAATTAACCCAGAGCTTCCGAAGGAGTTTATTGGAGAACCCTATAATATTGCCCTCTACCCGATAAACTAATCATAAGCGATCCTACTACTTACGGTGCAAAGGAATTTGCATGAAAACTTTTCTTGCATTTAGGTATTTTCTAGCGCTTCTCCAGGCGGTCGCCGCTACTGGGAAAATAAGGTATAGTATTGATGGCTCTTTAAGGGGGGAGGGGAAATATAAAGAAATGAAAAATACGATCAACTCTATTAGTGTGGGAAAATATGCATATAATCAACTACATGTGTTTGAAAATTGTCGTTGATTTCTGCACGAACTCGTAAAACTTCTGAGCTCAGCAAAGACCTCAGTGATTATTGTTCTCATCTTGAATGTTCATCATCAACTGGTTTTGGGATGCCCTCAGCTATCTCGGGCTTTCTCGCAAGAACGCAAAGATTCTTTTCCTGGGTCTCGACAACGCCGGCAAAACCACACTCCTCCACATGCTCAAAGACGACAAAGTCGCAACTCACGTGCCGACTCTTCATCCGCACTCTGAAGAATTGCTCATTGGAAAGATTCGTTTTCGAACCTTCGATTTGGGAGGACACGAAACGGCTCGAAGAATTTGGAAAGATTATTTCGCGACGGTAGATGGAATTGTTTTTCTGGTGGACGCTGCGGATAGAACTCGATTTCTGGAAGCTGCTGAGGAGCTTCGTCAGCTTATGGAGAGCCAAGAACTTTCTACTGTACCAATAGTGGTTTTGGGAAATAAAATTGATGTTAGAAATGCTGCTAGTGAAGAAGAGTTCCGACAAGCTTTGGGTTTACACTCTCATACTACTTTTGGGAGGGAAATTAAGTCGACCGCTGCTGCTCACGCTGCTCAGGAGTCGGGTATTCGCCCCGTGGAAGTATTCATGTGCTCGGTGATAAAGCGAATGGGGTACGCGGAAGGCTTCAAGTGGCTGGCACAATTTTTGGAATAATAATGATGATGATGATGAGGTGGACGAGATTATCATGTTGATGATGTTTTTAAGACGGATTAGGAATAGTGAAAGTATTTGAGTTCATCGGGAGAAGGGAATTAGTTTGAATTTTTTATAGTTTCACCACCCTAGTGATTTGAAAAACACTAGTGGAAAATATATTTCACGAC